GTTCCCCGAAGGCTCCAGAGGGCAAAAAACGACCCTATGAGCAAACCGGAAGTCCATTCCCGAACATCCGGTTTACCCATAGGGCTGGTTTTTCGCGCTCCGGTAGGCCTCTGGGAACCTCCTGAAGCCTCCGGAGGGCCTCCGGGGTAGGAGGCTGTTTTTGCCCTCACTGGGCTCATATAAAGCCTCTGGAGCCTGGGGAGGGAGAAAAAAAGCACGACAAAAATGGGGGAGGGGAAACACTGGTCGTGTGCACATTTCATGCCGGGGTCATGCGCATAGCATTATGAGTGTGGGCACGACAGTGCATGACCCCCCCCCCTGCACTCCTCCCGCTTTTGGCACACGAAACAAAAAAAAAGGTTCTCCATTCCTGACCTAGATTATAAGGCAGCATTCAGAAGACCTTAACTGAGCTTGGAAAGGAAATCAGTGTTGGATATTTTTAATCCCTGGATGGAATCACTAGGATGTTTCTAGCCTAGGAAACTAGACTAGAAGACTGACAAGCATTTCTTAGTATTGGCAAAGTATTGGACCAGCGGTGGTTTCCTAGAAGTTTGGAACAGTTTGCCCAAGCTGGTAATGATTTGGCGGCCTGGGTCACTGAAATCAGTAGCAATCCATGGCTGCTACCCCTCTGAACCTGTTCTGGTACGGTGGCGCCATCTTCTTGTTTGCTTCTGCACATGCTCAGAGCAATTTTGATTGCACTGCGCATGCTCACAGTGATTTTGATTGCACTGCACATGCTCAGAAAATTTTGATTGCACTGCACATGCTCACAGCGATTTTGATTGCACTGCGCATGCTCAGAGCAATTTTGATTGCCATGCCCAAGCTCACAGTGATTTTGATTGCACTGCACATGCTCACAGCTATTTTGATTGCACTGTGCATGCTCAGAGCAATTTTGATTTCACTGCACATGTTCAGAACAATTTTGATTGCACTGCGCATGCTCAGAGCAATTTTGATCACACTGCACATGCGCACAGCAATTTTGATTGCACTGCGCATGTTCAGAGCAATTTTAATTGCACTGCGCATGCTCACAGTGATTTTGATTGCACTGCACATGCTCACAGCAATTTCGATTGCACTGCGCATGCTCACAGCAATTTTGATTGCACTGCTCATGCTCAGAGCAATTTTGATTGTACTGTGCATGCTCAGAGCAATTTTGATTGCACTGCACATGTGCACAGCAATTTTGATTGCACTGCGCATGCTCAGAGCAATTTTGATTGCACTGCACATGCGCACAGCAATTTTGATCGCACTGCACATGCGCACAGCAATTTTGATTGCACTGCACATGCGCATGCACATGGCAAGCCCACGAGCGAACCAGCAGTAGTGACTGCCAGAAGCCATCCATGTCCTGGACGTAGCTCTGTGACCTCTTCTGGAGCTGAGTCCATCTTGAAGTCTGGACAGAAAGAACGNATGAATTTCTTCTTTCAGCAATGTGTCAATTTCACCCAGGTGAATTTGTTCTTCAGGAAGTGTGTCAATTTCACCAGAATGAATTTCTTCTTCGGGTATGATTTAACCTGTACAGACGAATGTGCGAGTGGTAAAAGGAGAAAACCTCACATTATTTTACGTTCTCCTGTTCTTTCTTTTCCAGCAAAATGGCCAACTGAACAGATGCATGTTGGGGGTAGATAGGTGGTCATGCTTTGGCTTCCTTGGATCTGTTTACAATTTCCCTACGAAGGGAAACCATGAAACCAGAGTCCCTGCTTCTGTGGAGGCTGATGAATGTGCAGCCAGATGTGCAAAAGCTATTCAGGATGCTAATGTGGGTGTGATGTCAGAAAGTGATTTATCCACAACATCCCTATTCCCACTCATGTGGCCTTGGATAACACAATTGCTTTGGTCTTCCTCCGCTCTGGAGCAGAGGGGGGGCATCTAGTGAAATCGACAGGATTATTATTAAAAGGTAACGGTAAAGCTTCCCCTCGCGCATATGGGCTACTCGTTCCCGACTCTAGGGGGCGGTGCTCATCTCCGTTTCAAAGCCGAAGAGCCAGCATTGTCCGAAGACGTCTCCGTGGTCATGTGGCCGGCATGACTCAATGCTGAAGGAGCACGGAACGCTGTTCCTTTCCCACCAAAGGTGGCTCCTATTTTTCTACTTGCATTTTTTACCTGCTTTCGAACTGCTAGGTTGGCAGAAGCCGAGACAAATAACAGGAGCTCACTCCGTTATGCAGCATTAGGGATTCAAACCATTGAACTGCGAACCTTTCTGACCAACAAGCTGTCTATGTCTATGATATAGACATAAATAGATATTTTTTTAAAAAAAACATGTCGCCCAGCAGGTGGCAGCACTCGGCCAACCCTGGTTTATCTCCGGGGCAAAGCACAGGAGAGCTGGATGATAACTCAGAAAGGAGACCACTAGGAAATCCCACATTGGAGAGCAGACTACGAAAGCTGGAGAAAGATGCCAGCAGTCGCCCCTTCACTTCTGTATCCCCACCACGAAAACTTCATGGGGCCCAACGTTAACCTCCACTTTCTCTCCCTCCCCCCCACCCACCCCCAAATCCATTGCGCACTAGGGGAGTGCGTGCAAGTCCCGATGATTGCAGTCCATCTTCAGCTTAGCCTTTCAAAGCCAATAAATAAAGACCTTGTAAAGTAACACACACTTACACAAACACACAATTGCCAAGCCAGCCATGAAGTTTGCTGGCCTCTATTTTCCTGAGCCCACCATCAGCTGTTTCACAGAGCTGGGGGGGTGTGTGTTCTGGCTCCTTCTTCTCCCACCCTTGGGGGGAACCACCAGCTCTCAACACCAGCTCTCTATTTCTCTCTGTGTGTTTCTGTCTGCCTCTCTCTCTCTCTCTCTCTCTTTCTCTGTTTTTCTCTGTCTTTCTCTCTGACTCTCTTTCTCTCTACATCTCTGTCTTTCTCTCTCTCTCTCTCTCTGTCTCTCTTTCGCTCTATATCTCTCTCTGTGTCTGTCTCGCTGCCTCTGTCTCTCCATCTGTCTCTCTCTGTCTCTCCATCTGTCTCTCTCTGTCTCTCTCTTTCTCTCTCTCTGTCTCCCTTTGTCTCTCTGTGCCTCTCTGTGTGTCTCTCCCTTTCTCTCTCTGTCTCTCTCACTTTCCCTCTCTTTCTGTCTCTGCCTCTGTCTGTCTGTCTGTCTGTCTCTGCCTCTTTCTGTGTGTGTGTGTGTGTGTGTGTGTGTGTGTGTCCGTCCCTCTCCAGCTCCCCTCGGATCTGCAGCAGCCGAATTAAAAGGAAAGAGACCGGAGGAAGAGGGAGGGGGGGGGGATGGCTGAAGAAAGGAGGAAGTGAATTGGGGAGGTGGGGGGGCAGGCAGCGCCAGCTTCGGGGCTGAGCTTTCTCTCTTACTCTCCCGGTAGCCTTCAGCCAATGTCTTCATCAGTGACGTGTGGGCGAACCGCTGCCTCCGCTTATTTAACGCCCACCCGAGGCAAGGGACGGCACTCTCTCTCTCTCTCTCTGCCTACCAACGCGCCAGCCGCCGCATTCACCGGGGCTGCAAACGGAGAGGAGGGGGGGGCCCCCGCTGCACCTGCCGGCGCCCCCACCTTACCTCCCCCCCTTCCCCATCCCCGCCACCACCTTCCAGCGAAATCTGACCGAAGCCAGCTGAGCTGGTTGACTTAGCTTGCCAAGAAGAATCTTTCCAAAGGGGGGTGGGGGAGGAGAAGGGGTACGGGGGTGAGTGGGTGGGCTCCTTTCCTTTATCCCTCCTCTCCTTTTTTTTGCATTCAGGTTTGGGGGGGGTCACCTCGGCAGCTCGGGGCAGCTGCCCCTAAAAAAGGAGGAAGGGGCGAACGTTTGCAAGAAAAAAGAGAGAAGGAACCGCAGCGCTCTGATTCTTTTCTTTCTTTTTTTTCCCCCTCCCCGGCTGGTGGAGGGGGGGGGAATTGAGTTTAAATTTTGCTTCTCCACCGCTCCTCCCTCTCCTCCTCCTCCCTCCCTTCCCCCGCCCCCCCCCTTTTCTAGCTGTCAAGCGACGGCTCTTGCGCTCCAACCTTCGAAGCAGCTGCAGCCTCCGGAAAAGGCTGGCTGGAGAGAAAGGGAGAGAGAGAGAGAGAGAGCAGGCGGGCCGGTTTTTGGAGACGGGAGGTGAGGATCTTCTCCACCCGGCCCTCAGACGGTTCTCCGGGGAGAGGGGCGTCTCTCCTTCGTCTCTCAAGAGAGAGGGGGCGCCTTCTTCCTCTTGCGGGGCAGGAGACACCGAGCGCCGGCGGATGGGTTTGAGGGACCCTCTTGGCGAGGAAGGCTCCGGCAAAGCGGCTGGCCAGCTCTGGGGGCGCCAAGCTGGTCCTTTGGGGGGGGCGCTCCGCTAGCACGACGGGGAGGGGGCGCAGAACTGCTGCGGCTGCTTTGACCTCCCGCCCCTCCCCCGTGAATTAGCACCCCCCCCACCTCAATATCCTGGGGCGCCCCGAAGACTTTCCCCCCCCTTTTTTTTCCTGCTTGCTCTTGACTCCCCAACAAGACCAAAGGGAACCGATGCTGCGTTGGCCAGCTGGGAAGCGGCGGCGTCCCGTTTGGAAAGGCTGATCGCTGAGTGGTTTACTCGGACCGGGGTGGGTGGGGGGGAGAGTTTGGCTCCGGAGCCTCTACTCTCCTTCCTTCCTTCCTTCCTTCCCTCCTTCTTTCGATTTGTTTTGTATTTTTTTTTTCGGGCCAAAGGAAAAAAACGGCGGCCAAAGAAGGCCGGCAAGGAATTAATTCCGGCCTTTCTCGCGAGATGGAAGGAACGCGGCAGCCGGAGAGGAAGACGACTGGATTGTGACTCAAAGAAGATAGGAGGGAGGAAGGGGGGGAAAGAAAAGAATCAACGCTTGTCCCCCACCCACCCACCCAAAATAAGCGACCCTCCCTTGCCTCGCTTCTCCCGCTCTCCGAGCCCTGGCTGCTGAATTGAGCCCCCCTCTGGTCGCTTTTCCAGCTTGCCTTGGGAGGGAAGCCCCCCGCCCCAATTCCCCGGAGCCATGAAGCTGATCTTGGTGCGCAAATTCCGCGTCCTCATCCTGCTGGTTTTCCTGGTGGCCTGCACTCTGCACATCCTCATCGACCTCTTGCCTAAGCTGGAGAAGCGAGCCGCGGGGTCGGAAGCCGGGGCGGCGGATGCCAGCCCGGGCTGTTCTTGCTCTCACACCGCAGCAGCAGCAGCAGCAGTAGCCCAGCCGGGGGGAGAGCGACGCGGCTGGCCCAAGGAACCTCCGCCGCCGTCTTCCTTGGAACCGGAGCCTCCGCCGGCTGCGGCGCAGGAGGAGCCCGGGAGAGCCCAAGCCGGCGCCTCGGAGGCGGCCGCGGCCGCCGCGGGCTGGCCTAGCAAGCACACGCTGCGGCTCTTGCAGGATTTCAGCAGCGAGCCCAGCTCCAACCTCACCTCGCGCTCCGGGGAGAAAGGCAACGGCGAGCGGAGAGGAGGAGGAGAGGCGCCGCCGCCGCCGCCGCCGCGGAGCTTCAGCACCACCGGAGCGCTCCGCGCGAAAGGGAAAACGAGAGCAAGCGACAGGCTGCAGAACGAGCCCCACTCGCCGCCTTTGCTGCCGCTTTACCGGGAGGAGGAGGAGGAGGAAGATGAAGAAAGAGCCGCCGCGGCGGTGGGGCCCGCGGGCACCGGCTCCCGCCTGGCCGCGCTCTTCGCCCACCCGCTCTACCAGCTGGCAGTGCCCCCGCTGGACGAGGCTGATCTCTTGTTCAACGTCAACAGCGACATCCGATTTAACCCCAAGGCGGTGGAGAATCCCGAGTGGTGAGTGAGTGGGGAGTGGGGGGGAGGCAAAGATAAGATTGGGGGAAAGGGAAAGAGGAGAAGTGGGGAAATCAGCTCTGCAAGACGGGCACGGCACGCCCTGCTTGGCATCCGGCCTTAGGTCGGCTTCACACGACCGGCTAAACCTCGGTTGGGATCTTTCTAGGGCTTGCATAAGCCGGAATGGAGAATCCAGCGGTTGCTGGGTGGTGGAGCAGACTTCAGGGTCATCATGATACTCTTGTACCATCCATCCCAAGTTGTTGTGAGTCTTCTGGATGTTGTCTTGTGTGAATGTAAACTCTCCCGGGGGTCTTCGGCCAAGGTGGAAGGCCCCAATGAGCCAGCTGGCCATCATGTATTGATTTTTTTTATTGATTATATTTCGTCAAGCATGAATTAGAGAAGAGATATAAGTCCAGGCGTGATTACGAATACATGAAATGGATGCGAATACAAGGGAATATTAGGATAGGAACACTGGTGCGCTTATGCACGCCCCTTCCAGACCTCTTAGGAATAGGGTGAAGTCCACGGAAGACAATCTAAGGTTCACGTTTTGGAGGTTTGAGGCCTTAATGTGATGGGAACCCAGAAAATGATGGCTTGACCATTAAGATGGATGCTGTTGTGTGTGAAGCCGTGTGATGGATCAGTTTGAGTATCTCAATCCAAATGGGTGGCTCTTTGCCTTGTGCCCATCCCTCACACCAGTGGCAGGTCATTCTCTTAAAAGGCTGAAGACATCCGTGGTCCTGCGTCAACCCCCAACTCAACATATATAGTGACCTACTTATGCCAGATTGATGTTTTGGGGAGCTCCACAGCTCTAAAAAAAGGCAATTGATTCAGTAAACCATGCTCTTCGGACTTAGGATATCCTACGCTTAAAGCCAAGTTTAGCTCAAGCGGGGGGGGGGCAAGCAGGAACCCTCCCACCCCACCCCAACTCTCCTTCCTCACATAAGGGAGATGTTCCTTCTGAAGGACGAAGTGGTGCTGATGTCGAATGGCCGATATTGGTCTTGCGTGGCCCGTTGGCCTTTTAAAAAAAAAACCACAAATGCAGAATAATTGGCTTTTGAAGGCTCTTGCGGATTATCAAATTGGAATGGTCTTCTTTTTTTACCTTTCTTTCCACCCCACAACCTTCCTCTTGGGAAGAAACAGAACAGAGGCATGGATGAGCTGAGTCCCCCCCCCCCACTTTAAAAAAAAATCCTACTGAGAACCAGAAGAGGGAAGGTTAGAAAGAAAGCAGCTTGTTCTCTCCTCTTCGTGCTTAAGATTTTTTTTTAAATAGCAGAAGCTATTGCTTGGGTAGATCATTCTCTCCCCCCCCCCCCTTATAAAACCCCAGTGGTGGTGGTGGGTGGGGGGTTGCTTGATACAAGAGAAAACTGACTGGATTCTCAGCTCTGGCTCTCCCACTCCTCACCACTGAAAGAGAGAGAGAGGAGGATTGCTTCGTGTTGGCTCACACACCCCTCTCCCCCCCCCCCTCTTAACCTCGCACATATGTGCTAGTAGTTCCCGACTCTAGGGGGCGGTGCTCATCTCCATTTCAAAGCCGAAGAGCCAGTGCTGTCCAAAGACGTCTCCGTGGTCCTGTGGCTGGTATAACTAAACATTGAAGGCGCACGGAATGCTGTTCGCTTCCCACCAAAGGTGGTTCCTATTTTTCTACTTGCATTTTTTTATTTGCCTGCTTTCGAACTGCTAGGTTGGCAGAAGCTGGGACAAGTCACGGGAGCTCACCGCGTAAAGCGGCGCTAGGGATTCGAACTGCCGAACGGCCGACCTTTCTGCTGTGCGTCTTAGCCACTCAGCCACCGCGTCCTATTGCCAGCTATAGGAGGGGAAAATTCAGAATATTCTCTATCCGCTTTCAGGCCAATGGTCTCCCAATCTTAATTTATATTTTTTTAAACAAAAAAAAGGCCTGAAAATGTTCTCCATCTCCAAATTGTGGAACTCGATTTAGATTAAGCTAACCCTGTGTGAGGTCTGCTCCCATTTTGCTTTTCTTTCTGATTTTGCCTTTCTTTTTAAAAAAAAGTGTGGAATGAATGAAGCACACCCTTGTCCAAAATTTTAAAAAAGAAGGCTTTATTGTGATGGATGAGCCTCACCTCCATCAAAGGCTGCATTCCTTTCTTCGTCTTGCATTGGATGGTATTTGAAAATATAATCAGCTCTTTTTCATTGATATAGAAGAGATATCCCTCTATCTCTTTATCCCTCCCTCTTTCTTTCTTTCTCTTTCTCTCTCTTTCTCTCTCTCTTCCACTCTCTCTCCTTCCTCCCTCTCTTTATCTCTCTCTTTCTCTCTCTCTGTCCCTCTCCCTCTCTTTATCCCTCTTTCTTTCTCTCTCCTTCCATCCCCCTCCCTCTCTTTCTCTCTCTCTCTTTCTCTCTCCCTCTCCTTTTTTCTCTTTCCATCTCCCTCTCTCACCCTCTCTTTATCTCTCCCTCTTCTCTCTCCCCCCTCTCTCTCTTCCTCTCTCCCCCTCTCTCCCCCTCACTTTATCTCTCCCTCTTTCTCTTTCCCTCTCCCTTCTTCTCTCTCTCTCTCCCTCTCTCTCCCACCCTCTCTTTATCTCTTCCTCTTTTTTCTCTCTCTCTTTTTCTCTTCGTGCCTTCCAGGCTGTAAACTCCATCATCCCCAGACAAGCTGTCCAGGAGTTATGTAGACATGACAGTCTGGTCATTTGAAAAGTGCCCCATTAGGAAAGCAAGGAAATTTTTTGGTATTGTTGAACACGGCATTATCCAGGAAGGATGTGGAAAAGATTGTTAGTGATTGGTTTTATTTTAAGGTAGCTGGAGAAGTGAATTCAACCAAAAATGTGTGTCTGTGTGTGTGGGAGGGGGGAAGCTGGTGTGTTTTGGTAGGTTAAAAGAATTGGACTGAATTCATTTTAGCCTGACCTTCATCCCACTGAACTCCACTGGATGACTTCGGACTGATCAGTCTCCTAAGCATTGTGATAGAATTGTAGTGGAATAAAATGGGAAGCAGGAAAATGAATGAAATTGACGAACAAAATTGACGAACGAGGTGAATGAAATTGACGAACGAGATGAATGAAATTGATGAATGAGATGAATGAAATTGACGAATGAAATTGACCAACGAGATGAATGAAATTGACGAATGAGACGAATGAAATTGATGAATGAAATTGATGAATGTAATTGATGAATGAAATTGATGAATGAAATTGATGAATGAAATTGACGAATGAAATTGATGAATGAAATTGACAAATTGGGGGGTGGTGGTAAAAAAAGAAAGATGAAACCAGGAAAGAAAAAGGAGTAACAGCTTGCCCCTCGCTCTGCAAAGATAAAGCACAACATTTCATTCCTAGAAGGGGTAAAACAGATGGCGAGTCCTTTCTCATCCTAGTCTTCCTCTAAACCAGTGGTTCTCAATTTGTCAATTTCATTCATCAATTTCATTCGTCAATTTCATTCATCAATTTCATTCG